TTAAAACTTTATATTAAAAGACTTATAATCTTACGTACAAGATTTGATGCAATAAAATAAATTGTACAACGTTTGAAATGGACAGAAAATCAATGAAATATGCTGTACAGTTATCTAATACGTTAACACGATTTTTATCATAGGATTCAATGGCTATGTAAAAGAGAGGCGAAAGAAAATAAAGACACATTTAAACTCATAAGTAAAAAATGAACTAACATAGCCATGGCAAAAAAAAAAACCAACAGATAAACAAAAGTAAACAATACACAACATAGATAACTGAGCAACACGAACCACACCAAAACCTGGATGTGATTTCAGGTGCTCCGGAAGGGTAAGCAGATCCTGCTTCACATGCGGCCCCGGTCGTGTTGCTCATGTTATAAGCTGGGCAGCGCAACTTATACTTAAGAACTAAACAGAAACATGACAAAGTCATTCAATCATAAAATTAAGGACTAACTTTTATTTAAAATCAAAGATATGACTTTTTAACCAATATTGAAAAGAAACATGTATTGCTAAGCATAAGGAATTGCATCTGTCAATATGCCTAGTATTTTTTTCCTTAATAGTATGTCTACCAAGTGCAGTCTTGACCAGAAGTTTACGAAGTGGATAACATACTGTATGTTGTAATTTCAGCATCAAAACTAATGGGCCTGATTATTACAACCATAACTTGTTTTCAATTATGCCCGAAGATTTGGAACCCTTGTTAGCACGGTTTTTCTAATGAGTTTTATTAAGTATACTACTATATATCAATCACTTCGTATTTTTGACCTATCATTTTGATTTGCATTATCGATTAAATAAATTGCATCATCATTTTGAGATACATCATGTAGTGTGTATGTTTGGTTAATGGTTATATCAAAGATAACTTCAATCGATACATGTTTCCATACACAAATATCATTTGTGATACCATGTTGCGAAGCATGTTACTCTAAAGAGACTTATCATTGTAACTAGAACTGATTTGGACTCTTTTGGAAGTCTAACAGATTCAGGACCATCTGAAACATAACAAAACAGTCAATAGAATAACTATGCTATTGTTTATTTTAATCCAGTAATCTTTGTTTTGTTCATTTTGAAATTTAAATTGATAGTGATTGAACCGGTATGTCGTTTCGAACAAATGACACAAATAAAATCTAGAAAGATGTCATAAAACATGTTGATTCAGGTGAATTCAAATAATTTGTTACAAATAATAATTTTTCAATATATTAAAATAAGGAAAAACTGTGTCATCAAAGTGTCAATGTTATATTTGGGTATAATCACTTTATAAATACACATTTATTATGGAAGGCATATAATACAACGCATGTTCCTATTACCTGTTACTGCTATATTGTTAGAAGATATATGATGTATCGGCTGAAGGGTTCTTCCCTTTACCTTTTACGATAAATTTTACATGGCACACATGATTTCTGACCGTAACCGAATACAATCGCTACATGGTATATACAAAGATATAAAATACGTGAGTTAGGTAAATTCCTGAAAATCAATACAAACAGTTTGTCAGGAACCTGTTATTCAATGGTTGTCGTTTGTTGGTTTGGTTCATCGGTGTTTCTCGTTTCTCGTTTTTTATATAGATTAGCCCATTGGTTTTCCTGTTTTATTTGTTTTGGGGTCCTTTATAACTTTTTGTTCGATGTGAGCCAAGGCTCCGTGTTGAAGGCCGCACTTTGACCTATAATTGTCAACTTTTTAAACAATGTAACTTGGATGGAGAGTTGTATCGTTGGCACTAATACTGCATCTTCCTATTTATATTCAAGGGAAAAACAATGTATAAATGTCGGGTAGCGGACATGCACACTGCACATGGCATTGTCGTTTGAATGTTCCTTTCGTATCGTTCGCCTTTCTTTTGCACTAATTGTATATGATTCACTTGTTTTGTATTGCTGTCTGTATGATCTAACATTTGCGTTGAAGTTAATTCAGGTAAGTTGTCTGCAATATTTTTTTCTCCATATTTTCCACATCTGATTCACGCCATCTTTAGAATAATCAGTTTCAAAATAACTTTGAAGCCCTGCTTTGATTGCTAATAAAATTGATGTTAATAATTTAGAAAGAGGTTCCATAGAGCACTTGGTAGACCTAGCACAATACCGTTGTTTGTAGGAAAACTTATGCAGTTTAGGTATCCAACACAGTGATTAAAAATCCAGTTCATCATCTTTGGTTGGAATTCAACAAGAACTTTGAACATGTGTAGAGCAGACCTATGATTATCCAGGATTTCCTCTTTAGTAAGTGTCGTGGGGTATATGTTGAGTTTCCAAGTGAAATGTCAATACCTAATTCGTTTATCAAGCAGTTTATGTAATGGGATTAACACACAAAAACGATGTTGTTTGGGCCTTTATCTGCGGGGACAACAACATATTTGTCATGAAGGTAGGCCAAGTGTTTTGCAACAGTAGGGTCTTTAAACATATCGTAGCATGGGTATTGATAAACCCATTCAGTTTCCTAATTCTGATGTATCAAAGACCTCACAGCCTTACACCATTCGGAAAGATTATCTACGTCCTCTTTCTTGCGTTTAACCCGTTGCCTTGCACAATCTTCAACTGAATCCATCAGTATTTTGAAGTTGTGTTTCCAATTGATGGATTTAGGCTCACGATATTTCGGATCTTTGGATAACACATTTCGCAGGGAAATGCTATTGACAATGTTGAGGTGACCGGTAATAACATGGCCAACCGGATATTTTATGAATGGGGAACTAGCACAGGTGCAATCAAGGGGTTTATACTTGAAGTCGTCAATATTTAGATCCTGCAACACATGTTTGTAATTGCAAATTTTAGTTGCAATTGGTTTATTATAGGTATAAAAAAATGATTGGTACAGACTGATCTTTAAAATAGAGAGGTATCTTCGATTGAACTAATTTATGATGAAGGATATTGCACAAGTTGACGGCATCGAGACCTTTGTTGGCAAAGGAAAGTTTAAGAAATAATCTTTTCTCTTTTTCATCTTTTTAAATGCGAACTGGTTTGAAATGTCTGTCACTTGCAATATCCGAAATGATAGCTGTAAGTTTGTATTGGTTTGAAAAAGGGTTTGTTACAGTGGTTTCCAAACATAAATCGAACAAAGAATGACTTTTTTAAATAAAGCTTCGTGCAAATGTGATGAATACCTCACGTCTTTTGTATAAATGGCAGGAAGTCATTAATATAGACATCATGGAGAGTTGGTGATGTATAATGACGATGATCATGACTGCGTCTACGTCCAGGAGTTGAGTTGAAAATATTCATCACATTCACCGAGCTACATGAAGGACTAGACAGAATACCTATACCATCAATTGTGTCAACCATATGGTGTCACAGTTCCCAATTATCGAATGCAGTATTCTTCTTATTGTCTTTGGATAGGCGTTTTAAGATGAGGATTGTTAGTCCTGTGGTATATTTTTTCGATTATGCGAACTTGCATAGAAAGGATAGAATGATCAGGCTGGTTAAAATGCTGGTAAAGAACGTCGCTTGTATTGTGGTTGATGTCTGATCTATGGCCGCACATACGTTTGTTTGGCATTCCTTTCGTTTCACCGACGTAAACCAATCCGCAAAGGTTACATTCAGACGACATTTTAGATTTACAATTCAGATCATTGTAACTTCTGGTAAAATAGAACTTTTTAATTAAATTGCTAGTGAATTGAGCATCTATTATTAAAATTCCACAGGTATTGCAGCCACCGGCTTCACATTTCAAAACGTGACAGTGTAGTTTAGAGTCATCAAAATCCAAGATGTCTTTTAGAAGAACTGAACATGGCTGTGTATGTAGACTATTGCTATTGTCACAGGTATGATGATATAAATGTGTCATGTTTGGGATTTGTGTCATGTCTGGTGATGCGATGAGACGATACGGATGATGGGCGTGATGTCTGGATTGCCTTTAGACAAAACGGTATAATGGTCAGTGACACTCTCTCTAGACGAAGCCTTGTTTTATAAGGTAACTGTATGAAAAGAAGAAATCATCTATAAAATGTTGATAAGATATATCATTGCATCGTTTTAATTTTTTTAATTCGAATGTCATTTTGTCTAAGGAAGACACATTGCATTCCTGTTATAGATTATGGGGTTATTTACTTTGAAGAAAAAACAAATATATGACACTTGTTCTATAGAAGTGTAATTATTAAGTAAACCATGTTACATTGTGGGATAATGTGTGTATTTAGAATAATATTTGATAAAAAAATGTTACATATCGTTTAAAAAAAAATCAAATAGCAATTCAATGTTATCATAGAATTTTTCTACAGTTCCTATTTTGATAGATAATTTTCTAAACTTGCGTAGTAAAAGCGTCCACCTTTAGTTTTTAAAATTTTTAATTTCGTTTGAATATTATATCTTCTTTACTTCTTACATTTTAAAACGTGTGCACATGATAAAAAGTCTACATATGTATATCGAATACAAAGTTAAATTTAAAATACACAATCTGGTAACGTACAGGTGAAATACAATATAATACATTTTACAATTTCATAAAATGTAAATAAGTTGCACTATTCATGTTTCACAATTTGCTAAATATAATATTCCATTTGCAATAATCATATATTTATTTATTGAAGCTCACTGGTCACTCTAACATTAAATCACAAATACTATTTAAATTGTTTAAATATAACCTAATTAATCATTCGTAATCACTATTGATCGTTCTTGATTTAAATATATTTTTGTGTGTCATCACAGGTCATGTGATATAATCACCTGACATACCTGCATTTTTTCAGTACACAATGGCGCAGTCTGCGTCTAAAACATGTGAAATTTGTGTGAGTGCCCCTGGATCACAATATTGCTTAGACTGTGAGCAATTGTATTGTGAAAGCTGTAAGTCGCTGCACAAAAGGCAGAAGTTATCGACAAATCATCAGTTTCAAAACGCATCCGACTTGATCCCGGAAGGTAAATCTAGATGTAGTGAACACAAAGAAGAATTAACCTTAATGTGTAGTACATGCAATGTACCGGTATGTACCAGTTGTGTGACAGGAAAACACAATAAGCATGAATTTTCCAAATTTGTCAATGCAATTGCTCAACTACGAGGAGATAATGAAACGAAAATACGTGCCAAGACAAACGAAGCAGATCAAAATATGAGGAAGATTGAGAATAGCTTGACATCGTTTGATATTGCCGTTGATTCTGTTATTAAAGCCATTATCGTTGAAAGCAGCATGATTAAACGTATGCTTGATAAATATGTGGCTGAAATGATTGCCTTAGTGAAAGAACAATCCAAGAAGGAGAAGGACAAACTTATAATTATGCTGTCTGAAGCTAAATCGGTACTTGTGGCTGGACAGACATTAGACAGAAGGAGACAGGAACTAGATAAGACAAGACATGATGGGACTTTGGTACAAAAGATGAAAAATCTGAAAGAAGAAATCAACAAACTACATCTATATTCTCTTCCAGAGTTTCCAAATATATCCTTCAATCCTAAATCTGTAGCTGAAGATGACATCAGACAACTGATAGGTACTTATACTTTAAGGTAAATATAAAAAAAATATGCGTATTCTTCTGAATTGATATAGTGTTCTATAGTAACCCTGCAAAACTCAAAAAAAAAATTTATCAAGGAAAACAAATCAAAGGATAAAATATAGTGTCAAGTCTTTGACAAATACACACAACATCAATCAAGATTTAGGCTTGAAACAAACCTGGTCCTGTTTCTGAGATCTTCAATCAACACACACTATTTAAAATGACAATAAGAAAAAATGAACCATTGGAAACCACTGACGTGGACATTGTTTTTTGTTTAACGAACAACTGAAAATAAAGAAATAACTTATTCCACAAATTATTAAAAAAAAAACAATCAAATGAGCTAGATTGCTTTCACTTCTATGCATATCACCAGAAAGTATCAGACGATATTACTTGAAGTTAATATTTGATTTAAAAATTAAGTGCCTAATCTGGCTAAGACGATCACTGACTAGAGGTAGAAAAAAAAAACCCATCGTGTTTCCATTAATTTCAGTGCTTTTGGTACAGTAGCTTGAACAAGTTTAAGTTTAAAAAGTAGTTTAAAATGAAAATAAAAAGCATAATATCGTTATTTTAGTCACTGTTGTATTATACAAATTTTATATTTTTAAAGTTCACACGTCACAAATAATCATAATACTATTGGGATGGATAACAGAAGTAATCACACACGTAGTATTATTTTCATTGATAACACAACTAATCATACATGTTATATTATTTGAATTGGTAGCACAATTAATTAATCATAATAGTTTTTCCATTGATTGAACAAGTAAACCTATTATTATTTGCATTGATGAATAACTGAAAACAATTGTTTCAACAAACGTGTGTGGTTCTTTTTTAAGTCCACATTAACATTAAATTTTGAAAGACTTTAATTGTTTAAACAACATTTAAAAAAAAATAAAGAAAAAACAATACTTTTTTATAGCAATTGTTCACCAGTCTTAGAAAAAGAAGAGAAACGCCTTTCAAACTTATACAGATGTGTTAATTGTGGGTAAGCTCTTAGAATCAACTTCTCCTTTTCGATTATTATTTATACGAAATAAATACATACAAAATAACAAATTACAGCTATTTGTTCAAGTGACAAATGATTGAAATGAATGAGATACTAAACACAATAGACAAGAACGTATCATGTAATCTATAACTGTAGTCATTATATACCTGATTTTGCCGCAGTTTTGTGCAGGTATCTCTTTACATTTAATACACCAATCAAGTAACCATTTGCGAATAGATTTAAAAACCGACATTTTTTGGCTAAAAAAAATTGGCTGTGCTTAGCATTTTTCAGCCGGTCACATGGCTGTTTAGTTGCACGATTTTGTGTATTTATACAAGAGGACATTCATGTTTAACATTTTCTGAACTAATAATAACTGTGTTACTTTTCTTCCTTTGACAATATAGACAAGTTATTGCTCGTCAAAATATGTTAGTTTCAAGAATTTTAGATTATTCCTAATATAAGCCAAAAAAAAAAAAAAACCCAACAAACTGTGAAAAGTAAGCAATTGTTGCATGTTTTCATACCTAAAAGGGAGGAACTGACAAGGGTCGTCTGTTTAAAGTTTGTGCAGAATCGAAAGGAATTGAGATTGAATTTGGGCATGAGCACTTGATGGACCATATATCTCAATAATTAGATACGTTTTGCAACTTAACATGTACGACTGGTGAAGACATGGATGGACGACTTAAAATTTCTTAAAGAGAGGAAATACACATTCATTTCATTCGATTCCTATTTAAAAAAAAAATGAAATAAATGAGGACGTTTAACTCGATTTTTCGTGTACATGGGGAATTAGGCATGGTATTTAAGTAGCATATTAAACAGGATTTGAAAATCTATAAAGTTTTAAACATATTTATTTTCAAAGATATTTTACGTTAACGTTGTTTTCTTTAATTGCTACACAAAACTCAGTATAGACGTTGTGATAATTGTCAATCTCAATTTAACATACTTTTTCTTTGACAACGGCATGATTCTGAATTCCAAAGACAGAAAATCGATGAAACGCGTCGGACTCAACTAATAAACAAAGTATTATTTTAATTTCTTACATTGATTAGATACCACTGTTGGTTAATTGTTAGTCTTAGAGGGCACCTTCCGCTACAGCAGTCTGTGCATGGGTATTGACATACAGTCTACGATACAAGTCTGAATTTCCGCACACAATAAGAAATACATGGAACTATAATCCAACTGCCAAGGAGACATTAGATGCATATGGCTATTCTGTTTAGATACATGTTAAACATATAGCTCCTTAAGCCGTATTTGGCACAACTTTTTTTGGAATTTTGGGTCCTCAATGCTCTTCAACTTTATACTTGTTTGGCTTTCTAACTTTTTTGATATGAGCGTCACTGATGAGTCTAATGTAGACGAAAGGCGCGACTGGCGTAACAAATTATAAGCCTGGTACCTTTGATAACTATTTACACCACTGGGTCGATGCCACTGCTGTGGACGTTTCGTCCCCGAGGGTATCACCAGCCCAGTAGTCAGCACTTCGGTGACGACATGAATATCAATTATATGGTCATTTTTTATAAATTTACTGTTTACAAAATTAAATTATTCGAAATACTAAGGATTTTCTTATCCCAGGCATAGATTACCTTAGCCGTATTTGGCACAACTTTTTAGGAATGTTGGGTCCTCAATGCTCTTCAACTTTATACTTGTTTGGCTTTCTAACTTTTTTAATCTGAGCGTCACTGATGAGTATTATGTAGACGAAACTCGCGTATGGCGTAACAAATAATAAGCCTGGTACCTTTGATAACTATTAAGAGTGTATATATCATTAAATCTCAATTTTGAGTTGTTAGTATTCTGGAAGATTGGTAAAAAAAAAGGTATCGGACATGAATAATTTATGAAATGTTTATTATGTTTTGTTTTGCAATCACTCAGACATTATTGATAGTAATGTGTTTTATTTCTTTTTTATCACTTGCAGAAAAAATGAAATATCACATAATACATTTGCTATAAATACAGAAGAAAATCAAATGCAATGAAACACGAATATAAGACATAGGCTAGTATGCATATTTCAAAATCTTTTTCCTGTCAATTGTGTTATATCGTTTTAATATCAGTCATTTTCAGTTAATTGTATCTATTATCGTTTAAGGCGAAACGAAATTATACCTTTAGGAGAATTGTAAGTATATAATTTATATTTCAATAAGCATATAAGAAAATAATTGTGAAAGCCATTTAAAATTTAGTAAAGAAATTTTGGAATCCTTATCACACACCAACATTACTTTTTCAAAAGGACATTCAATTCCGATTGACTGTTCTATATTGCTATAATGTTGAAAATTAAATATCTTTTCTTGGTGACATAGAAATACAATAAGTCTTTAAATTCATAGATGATGTTAAAAAAAACTGATGCTATAATTCTGTTTTTTTTCAGTTTGTAAGTAGCAAATTCAAGATTGATTTAGAGGAGTATGCATTACTTAAATTGCAATGCAATACCCAAAATTAGGGATACGGTTGAAAAGTGAAATATATTCTTCTTTAAAGATTACAATCCTACTTATCTACTCATCGGCCATCGACCACGAGCAAAACGAAATGAAAAATGATTCCATGTTTAAAACATAATACATGTCTTTGTTAAGCATACATAAGACCAAAAATTATGATGCTTAAAGTCTATGATTAAATATGTGTTTTCTTTACACTACACCTATGTTGCTGTTCCAGCCAGCAAGGCAACATAAATGATTGCTTTATCAGAACATCATATCTTTTTTGTTATTTCACATAGAAATAGCTTGAAATGTATTAAATACATTTCAGGATCGTTTTTACACACTTTCAATGATGGTGAAAAACTAATAATATTTTGTTTTCAGTCCGTAAGTAGCAAGTTAAAGTTTGATTGAGATAAGTATTAACTATTAATAATCAATAAATAATCCGCAATTCGTACATGGTTTTATAGTTACATAGGAACAGATATTTCCCTTTCAAGATTATAATCCTACATATTTATTCAATGAACGTTGAGAACCAGCGACATTTATTAAACATTCACGACACTATATTTGAAGCATAACACCTGTCTTGTCAAGCATACATGAGAGCAAGCACTATGATGTCTAAAGTCTTTGGTTGAATATGTTTTTTTTTTCTCTAAAACGACACATATCTTCATAGTTAAGCTGACTGGACATCATCAATGTTTGCTATATCAAAATGTTTTTTTACAAGAAAAGATTTAAAAAAAAAAAAGAAATCTAAGAACTATGAATATACTAATACACCTAAATTGATAACGAGATAGAAGATTCGGTTCTAGTAAACACTTCAATACAGTTGTATTTCTGACACTCTCATTATTTTTATGATTTCATGCGTGAGCAAAATATAATGTTCTACAATTCAACATTGAGGGTAGATAATGCCACACATTCACACACGCAAAAAACCTATGATGAATTCGATCTAAGGTAAAAGATGCTTTTTCAACTCAACAAATATGTTGGTGTTTAATCCTACAGGACAACACATGTTTTGCAATATAAAAAAAAACTGTTTCCATTGCATAAAGACAGAACTTAAAGGACACAACGTAAATGTAAGAATCTATAAATTACATTTATACACCTACATCGCTAAGGAAATATACAATAAAGACAATCCCCATTATCTTTTTTTGTATCACAAGAATTGTTTTATCTGAAAATTTGTAAATCATATCCTATTTCTTAACATTATTTGTGATGAGTTTAAATTCACAAGTACGATGAATTAATAAAGGGAAAGAAAGCTAATCTGATCGACTATGCAGCTTCACTATCTTTTTCGGGGTTCATCTGATTTTAATGTAAGCAACATCGGTAAACTACGTGTTCGTCCTATTTAGTGCATTATTCTTCGCTATTACTGTGACTTGACTGTTAGTGTTGCTCTCCACCTACTGCAATTTATTCAAAATTCTGACCAAATTGCAATTTGTTTTATAAAACCAAACTGTTCAACTGGTCAGAAATTTGATCAAACTGCTGTAGAAAACCACAGTCAAGTCGTGAAAGTGCAAGGTGATAAAATAAAGCATACTTACAATCCTATAAGACTTTAATTTCACTTCAATGTTATTATGAAAATTCAGTCTAACAGTTTGTATAGAAATGTTATTGTTATTGTCATGCTAAAGGTGATGGGTAGTAATTTTAAATTGCTATAAATATGTCCAAACTAAGCTTTTATACAAGTTTTCTTTCGAAAAGTCTTCTATATTCATAAGAATTAAACATCATTTGAATTAAAACATCTTACATTCAGTAAAATATATGTGAAATTACAATACGTTGTTAATAAGTTTCCATGGGAGATAACCTAAAACATTATTCTTTTGAATATAGAAGACTTTTCGAAAGAAAAAGTGATTATCTCCCATGGAAACTTACAAATATTGTAATTTCACACATATTTTACTGAATTTAAATTTTTTAAATTCAAATGATGTCTGATTCTTATGAATATAGAAGACTTTTCGAAAGAAAAATTGTATGAAAGCTTAGTTTGGACATTTTTATAGCAATTCAAAAGTACTACCCATCACCTTTAGCGTGACAATAACAATAACATGTCTATACAAACTGTTAGACTGATATTTCATAATAACATTGAAGTGGAATTAAAGTCTCATAGGATTGTAAGTATGCATTATTTTATCACCTTGCACTTTCACGACTTGACTTTAAGTTTCTACAGCAGTTTGTTCAAATTTCTGACCAGTTGAACAGTTTGGTTTTATAAAACAAATTGCAATATGGTCAGAATTTTGAATAAGTTGCAATAGGTTGAGAGCAACACTTACAGTCAAGTCACAGTAATACTTAAAATCATGATCTTCATCAATAATGGTTGAAAACTAATGTTGTCATTTCCCCTCTAAGGATTATAATCCTTCATATTGACTTATCGGCCGTTTATAACGGGCAAAACGAA